ATAAACTATAACATCCCATTAGCTTTCCTAATTGTTGCTGTATCTATTGAGTAACATTTTGCTATACATCCATGACGACACTGATCCCTCTGCATGGCAAACCTCTAAGTTTCTCACTATTTAGACAATACATGCTGCCAATTTATTCTTCCTGCCAGTATTTTAATGTATCAGTAAAACAAAGAGCACCAGAGAAATTCCGCCAGCAAAGCCTCATCCACATCCTCCAGACTCATTGGTAAGACTATCAGACAAATATTAATTCTGTCTTGAAACCAGTTTCTCAAACATTTGGGCAGAATTCCCACAATATCAACTACAAAGGACCACACACCATATGCACAAATGATGGAAAAGTATCTCTCCCACGAGGTTGTCTTTTTCTCAACTCTCAAGTTGCGAGTATTCCAGTGGAAGACAAAGAAAGCACATAACAGATCTTCAAGAGAGTCAGAGGGCAGAGGTGAGCATAGTGGCCATTACTGAGGAGAAGGTGCTGGGGAAGCTGAAAAATCTGAAGGTGGATAGATCACCTAGACCAGACGGACTACACCCTAGGATCTGAAGGAGGAGATAGCTGAGGACATTGTAGAAGCATTGTGGTGATCATTCCACAATCACCAGTCAGGGAGGATGCCAGAAGAATCTTGGGTCATACAGCACAGAAACAGAACATTCGGTTCAACCAGTCCACACTGACCATTATCCAAAACTAGTCCCACCTGCCTGCGCTTGGCCCATATCCCTCCAAACATTTCTTATTCATGTACTTATCCAAATGTCTTTTAAGTGTTGGAACTGTACTCACATCCACACATTGGTGGTGGGGGGGGATGGTGGGAAATGTTGCCCCCTCTAAGGTGAGAGGAGAAAGATCTTAAAAACATGCCCCATCCTAGGGAAAAGACCCTTGTCATTCACCTTATCTGTGCCCCTCATGATTTTATAAACCTGTGTAAGGTCACCCCTCAACCCCCTAAGCTCCAGTGAAAAATAGTCCCATCCTTTCTGGTCTATTTTTATATCGTAAACCTCCATTCCTGGCAACGTCCTGGTAAATCTTTTCTGAACCCTCTCCAGTTTAATAATAATCTTCCTATAATTGGAAAATGGTTAATGTCACACACCTGTTTAGAAAGGGCGGAAGGCAGAAGATGGGAATTACTAGTTAACTTGTAAAGACACTGTGAAGGTCTCCTTGAAGCATGGCATATTAACATTAATGATTGAGAGGAACTTTCTACCAATCATTCAAAATGACAACAGCTTGTCCATAAAACTGCTCTGAGCCCACATGTCTTGATGATGAGATGGAGCAGTGGATGAGGAGGCAAGGACACCATCCTGCCCTCCAGATTCCAGTACATCATGAGACTTTATCTCCCATGCCTCGGACAATTTGTGGGCTGGGAGTCAGTCTGTTCAATCATATGCAAAAACATGGCAGAAACTCATGAGTAGGTATCACTCTCGGATTGAAAGAAAGCCAGTTATACTGAGGAACACAAGTCAATCCCTAGTTAATGCCCACAACTCATTACACAATTTGTATACAATCAATACTGTAAAGTACAATAGGATCAGGGTTGGGTAATTGTAATAAATTACACGACACTGCATTCATACAGTTACAAGAGTGACTGCAATTCCAAAGTATTTATTTGGCTGTATAGAACTTTTAAATGTGCTTTTTTTTTTAGTTCATTCATGTGATATAGGCATCACTCACTGGCTAGGCCAGCATTCCTTGCCCATCCATAACTGCCCAGAGAGTAATTATTGCTGTTGGTTAGGAGTGATGTATAGGCCAGATCAGGTAAGGACAGCAGATTGCTTTCCATTAATGAACCCGATGGGTTTTTTTCTGACAATGGATTTATGGTCGTCACTTGACTTTTAATTCCAAATTTCTTTATTGAAGTCAAATTCCACCAATTGTCTTGGCAGGATTCAAACTAGGAGCTCCAGAACATATGGTCAACACGGTGACACAATGGTTAGAAACCAAAACAGAAATTGTTGGTAAAACTCAGCAGGTCTTGCAGCATGATTCAGAACACGTTTCGGGTCCAGTGACCCTTCTTCAGAGCTGAAATGAAGGATGGGTCACTGAACTCAAAACATTAACCCTGATTTCTCTCCACGGATACTGCCAGACCTGCTGAGTTTTTCCAGCAAATTCTGTTTTCATTTCCGATTTCAAGCACTTGCAGTATTTTCGGGTTTCTCTTTATTTGTAACAGTAGTTAGCTGGGTCTCTGGGTCAGTAGTCAGAGTCATACAGCATGGAAACAGACCCTTTGGTGCAATTTTTCATGCTGACCAAGTTTCCCAAACTAAACTAGTCTAATGACAATACTGCATTGCCTCCCCAAGTTTGGAGCAGAACAAGAAATATAATCTTCAGATGTGAATCTAGGCTGAGGGTCGATAGTGAAAGAAGTGAATATGGGTAACAAAGAAATAGCTGAGGAACTGAATAGTCACTTTGCATCAGTCTTCATGGCAGAAGACATACCAGAAATGCAGACTCAGGAACGGAGGTGTGTATAGTGGCCATCACTGAGGAGAAGGGGAAGCTGAAAGGTCTGAAGGTGGATAAGTCACCCGGACCAGATGGACTACACCCCAGGATTCTGAAGGGGATAGCCGAGGAAATTGACGAAGCATTGGTGGTGATCTTTCAGGAATTACTGGATTCAGAGAGGGTCCCAGAGGACTGGAAAATGGCTAATGCAGCACCCATGTATAAGAAAGAAAGGGAGGTAGACAACAGGAAGCCAGAGGCCAGTTAGCCTGACCGTGGTAGTTGGAAAGATTTTAGAATCCATTATTAAGGATGAAGTTGTGGAGTACTTGGGAGTGCATGGTAAAGTAGGGCTGAGTTAGTGTGGCTCCTTCAAGGGCAGGCTATGCTTGACAAATCTGTAGATTCTTTGAGGGGGTAACAAGCAGGGCAAGCAAGGGAGAGCCAGTGGATTTCCAAAGGCCTTTGACAACGTGCTGCACAGGAGGTTGCTAAATACGATAGGAGCCCACAGTGTCAGGGGCAAGGTACTGGCAGGGATAGAGGATTGGCTGACTGGCAGAAGGCAGAGAGTAAGAATGATGGGCCTTTTTCAGGATGGCAGCTGGTTATTCGTGGAGTTCTGCGGGGATCTGGATGAAGGAATTGAGGGCATTGTTGCTCGGTTTGTAAATGACCAAGATAAAAGGAGGAACAGGTGGTGTTGAGGACGTGTGAAGGCTGCAGAAGAACTTAGGTTGGGAGAGTAGGCAAAGAATGGCAGATGGAATACAATGTGGGAAAGTATGAGGTGATGCACTTTGGTAGGAAGAATGGACGTGTAGACTATTTTCTAAATGGGGAATGACTTTGGAAAACTGAAGCACAAAGAGTCTTGGGAGTTGTAGTTTATTATTCTCTTAAGGTTAACATGCAGATTCAGTTCGCAGTTAAGGCAAATGCAATGTAGGCATTAATTTCAAGAGGCTTACAAAAGCAGAGAGGCTCTGGTCAGACAACATTTGGAACATTACGAGCAGTTTTGGGCCCCGTATCTAAGGAAAGATGTGCTGGCCTTGGACAGGGTCCAGAGAAGCTTTACAAGAATAATCCTGGGTATGAAGGGCTTGTCATCCAAGAAGCGGTTATGGAGTTTGGGTCTGTACTCGGTGGATTTAAAGGATGAGGGGGAATTCGACTGAAACTTAGGGAATACTGAGAGGCGTGGATAGAGTGGACATGGAGAAGGTGTTTCCACTAGTAGGGGAGACTAGGACCTGAGGGCACAGCCACAGAGTGAAGGGATGACCCTTTAGAACTGAGATGAGGAGGAATTTCTTCAGCCAGAGGTTGATTAATCTGTGGGATTCATTGCTGCAGAGGGCTCTGGAGTCCAAGTCATTAAGTATATTTAGGACAGAGATAGATAGGTTTGTGATTAGTGAGGGAACTAAGGGTTACAGGGAGAAGGCAGAATGGGGTTGAGAGAAACATTAGACATGATCTAAAGGTGGAGCAGACCCAATGTCCTAAATCTGCACCTAAGTCTTATGTTCTTATTGTGAGTGTAGCTATTTCTTAATGAACATGTTCAGGGATGTTATTACACACCTCTGGAGCAGTGGGACTTGAACCCGAAGTGATTATGAGTGTTCACTCCTTCTTGGTAAGGCAGCATCTGGAGCACTGGTTTTGGTTCATTACAGATCTAAAGTGATTAAAGAAAGATGCTAGGGAAAGCTACAGGCCTGATTCCTACATGCAGATGGCAGGACTGATTTGTGCAAAGTGTTTGAGAGCTGGATTGAGAGCCCCTTTTATAATGTATTGTGTTTGGGAATGTGTTCAGAAAGTACAGTGTGGGAGTTGGGGGTGTGAGGCGGTTTGTGACAGGGTGTATCTGTCTGTGTTTCTATGATGATCTCTGTCATTTCATTGTTTTTCTGTCTGACTCTGACTGTGTGTGTGTCTGTGTGTTTGTGAATGCCTGTCTGTATGTGACAGTCTGTGACTGTGTGTCTCTCTCTGTCAGTGCCTGAGAGTGTGTCTCTCTCTCTCTCTCTGAGCCTGTGAATGCCTGTCTGTGTCTCTGTGCCTGAGACTGTCAGTAACTGTGTCTCTCTCTGCCTGTGACGCTGAGTGCCTCTCTCTCCCCCTCCCTCTGTCAGTGATTGTCTGTCTGCCTGTGCTCACACCCAAATTCCAGCAAGGCGGAATTTCCTGATTCTGACCGCGTTTTCTGATTGACAGTGAAGTGGATCAATGGGTGGGATCCCTCTCGAAGAGGCTGGCCAATCACAGTGGGGAGGGTTTTGGTTGTGTATCAATCTGGAGCTGGGCGGCGGTTGGTGCAGGAGAGATCCCCGATACAACTGTTAGTGTCCCTGAGTGCCGCAGCGAGTATCCCACTGAGATACACAGAGGGTTAGTTACAATGTCACACAGGAGGAGCCCCATTGAGTTGCTGGCTGTGTGTTAACTCCCTGCTCCCGATTGATAACTCCCTCTCGGACAGGGGGGAGACTCCAGCAAGCTTTGGCTGAAGCTCGTGTTCGTGGCCCTCCAGTTTTCGTTGTGTAGCTAAAGTCTGTCGTGTTCTTGCTGTAATCTTATGGTGGTGTTGAAAAACGCTGCGATTTGTGAGTAGATTGCTGTTGACGAGGTGAAGTAAAGCCTGCAGGGGAATACGGTGTGTCCTCGGTTTCAGGCAGAATGAGCTCGACCTTGTGCGCAAACCGGCTTGTTTCTGAACTGAGGGGTTGTGTATTATTGAAATGGGGAAGCTATACAGCAGCAGTGAAGCAAAAGCAGAAGTTGCTGGAAAAACTCAGCAGGTCTGGCAGCATCTGTGAAGGAAAAGACAGAGTTAACGTTTCGGGTCCGGTGACCGCAGTTCTTTCGATTTTTAAACTTTTAGTGAAGGTTGGTTTCTGGGGATTGTTATGCTAATAACATTGACACTGCACACTCACCTTTATTAAAGCTGGAACCTGTAGCTCATGTGCTCCACCCTCCTGAGTGCTCAGTGCTCTGAAAAAGGATCACTGGACCTGAACTGTTTCTCTCTCCACAGATGGTGCCAGACCTGCTGAGTTTCTCCAGCAATTTCTGTTTTTGTTTCAGGTCTCCAGCGTCCATTGTCCTTTGTTTTATTTTACTGATTTCAAAACGTTCTCTCTGATCTCGTACCTGTCTCCTCCCTCTCCCCTCTATTACACCTCAAGGCCCACGTTCTGCGTTCCTGTTGGCTCACTGCCTTCTCTTGAGGCAGAAGGTTTGCTTTCAAGTTCCACTTGAGCCACAGTCCGGGTTGACACTTTTAGTAGCACTGCTGAGGGAGTACAGCACTATCAGAAATACTGTTGGTTGATGAAATGTTAAACCTCTTGTCCTTATTTGTCCCTTCAGGTAGATGTTAAAGATTCCACAGCCGTTATTGGAAGAAATTATTGGCAGCTCAACGTGCAAATTAGCAGCCATGTTTGTTTACAAAGGAAATGTAGTCACATATGTTTCAATGAAATATAGTCATCGGGCGAAGGAGTAGAGCATGCCTTAAATAAAGTGACCAATATTGTGCACAGTCCTCTGTGGTGTGGAGGTGCTGGTATTGGATTGGGGTGGACAAGGTCGGAAATCACACGACACCAGGTTTATTTGAAAACACGAGCTTTCGGAGTCTTACTCATTCTTTAGGTGTTAACGAGAGAGGTAGTATCAGACATGGAATTTATAAGTAAAAGATGAAAGGGCCACACCACTGATGAGGATGTACTAAACAAACCTAAGATGCTGATTAAATCTTTAATCAGTTAGAAGGATTTAATTGATTAATATGTATATGTAAATGCCCAAATTCCTTTGAAGTCACTGTCCTGAGAGAACTAAATGTTTTATCAGTGTAAAGAAGAGGTGACATTTTAGGTCAGACAATGCATGTTAGGTATGAGGCCTTGTTTAGAATCTGTGTTTTGGTTTGGAGTCAGACTGGTTTTACTTCTAAACTAGGAATTTATAAAACGCCTCATTGACTGACTGCCTATAAATGGTGTGCTTTTTGAACAAAATAGACTGTATCTGCAGATACAAGATTTGTGTGTGTGTGTGTCCGTCCGTCCATCCATCCTTCAGATATGGTCTCACCAGGCCCTGTATAATTGAAACATAACCTCCCTACTTACGTATTAATTTCCCCTTACAATAAGTAACATCCTGTTAGCTTTCTTAACTGCACCTCCCAGTCGCGAACCATTTCAACTCCCCCTCCCATTCCTTAGACGACATGTCCATCCTGGGCCTCCTGCAGTGCCACAACGATGCCACCCGAAGGTTGCAGGAACAACACCTCATATTTCGCTTGGGAACCCTGCAGCCCAATGGTATCAATGTGGACTTCACATGCTTCAAAATCTCCCCTCCCCCAACCGCATCCCAAAACCAGCCCAGCTTGTCCCTGCATCCCTAACCTGTCCTTCCTCCCTCCTCCCACCTCAAGCCCCATCTCCTACCTACTAACCTCCTCCCACCCCCTTGACCTGTCCATCCTCCCTGGACTGACCTATCCCCTCCCTACCTCCCCACCTACACTCACCTTTACTGGCTCCACCCCTGCTTCTCTGACCTGTCTGTCTCCTTTCCACCTATCTTCTCCTTTATCCATCTTCTATCTGCCTTCCCCGCTCTCCCTATTTATTTTAGAATCCCCTTCCCCTCCCCCATTTTTGAAGAAGGGTCCAGACCCAAAATGTCAGCTTTCCTGCTCCTCTGCTGCTTGGCCTGCTGTGTTCATCCAGCTCTACACCTTGTTATCTCAGATTCTCCAGCGTCTGCAGTTCCTACTATCTCTGAAACAGCTTTCTTAATTATTTGTGGTGCCTGCATACTAACCTTAAGCAATTTAAGCATGAGGATACCCAGGTCCCTCTGCATCTGAGAGCTCTGCAGTCTCTCACCATTTAGACAGTATGTTGTTTTAAGTCTTCTGCCAAAATGGACAAGTTTGCATTTTTCCACATTATACTCCATCTGCTATACTTTTGCTAACTCCTTTAACCTAACTTTATAGCCTCCTTTTATGGCCTGTTCACAACTGGTTTCCCAATGAATCTTTGTGACTTCAAAAAATGATTCATTGATTGTGTTACCAAGAGGGTGTGGAAGGTGTTTTATTTTTTGAGCTGCTTTTATTGTTAAAACCTTTTTAAAGGACCTCTTGAAAACAAGCAAGTAGTTCCTTTCGTTACCACCTGAATGTCCCATATGTTTTGCTTAGTATTCACTACCTCTCCAAGAATCTGCTCTGAATTGTAGATGGACAGTGTATGATGTTAATCCTGCAAAAATGCTGAGCATTTTATAGAATCTCAAAAGTACAGAAGGAGATGATTCATCCCATCATTCCTGTGCTGCTCGTTTGTGGGGCAAACCAATTATTTCACTCCCCTCTGTCCTGTTTGTAACCCTGCAGTTTTCTTCCCCTTGAAGTTTTTAATCCATTCTATATTTTGAATGTTCCCCATGTTCTCTGCATCACAGATTTGTAAACAAATGGTGGAGCAGTGGTTTGTCGATATTTTGTATCTCTGAAACAATCACCTTTTACAACTGAAACCTATTATCCCATGTTCCCCAGTTCGGCAGAGCAGCCTGAGTGGATGGTTTGAGAACTAATTGTGTATTTACTGTGATTGAGATTCTCTCCCTTTTAGCTTTTTCTTTAGGGCATTGAACTTCATGCGTTACAGTAAACTGTTACTTTTTTTTAAAAAAATGATGTTTCCGGTTACTGGTGTAACCCTGTTGAGCAATTTCTCGTGCTTTGAATAATGAGTCTGTCAGACATTTTGTATAGGATTCTCATTGGAGACAGGCTGTGAGTAGTACAGTATCAGCAAGGCGTGCCCCTTTTGTCTGCTCACGACTCGGTTGCTACTTTGAACTGTGTATGAACAGATTAATCGCTGCTGCACAGGAGGATTCATTGGAGAAAAGCACAGAGGGTATTTTACAGGGGGGAGTTGGCCTGCAATTTTAGTCGATGTGCAAGGTATAACCATGGTCATTGTGTGGAATTCTAAAAAGGCTTTCAGCTGGATTTTTGCAGGATTTATTATGGAGAGGAAGGAGGTTTTGGGTTTGTGGAACAAATTATTACTCTGTAATGATTGTGCTCCTGATCAGAAAGGAGATTAATAGAAGAAAGCAGATGACCAAACAATTCCTTTGGCTGATCCCTGCCCGATGAAAACTCATCTACATTGTACAGTTGAGCAACCTGCTGTTTGATTTCAGTATCCACAGCTTTCACTCATGGTGTTTAGCAGGAGAGAAAAGGAGGAGGAACCACAGCTATGTGACTGGATCTTCAATGTCAGAAGGCACATGACACCAGGTTATAATCGCACCAGGTTTATTTGAAATCACAAGCTTTCAAAGCACTGCTCCTTTGTCAGGTGAAGTAATCTGTAAGACTGTAACCTGGTGTCATTGACTTCTGACTTTGCCAGTCCAACACCGGCACCTCTACATCGTGGATCATCAATGTTCATTTAATGGGGTTGTCAAGCTGGGATATATAAACAGTTTGTGTGTCTGCGTTTTCCCAGTGAAGTTGTCCTGTACGTGGTTTCTCAAGTCTGCTTCCTGGCATGGCCTGTTGGTGGCCAGGGGGAGGAGGCTTGCTGTGATTAAATGCTGTGTTTTCTGAGAGTTGCTGAGTTACCCAACTGTTTGTTTCCACCTATTTACTCCTGACGTGAGCCTGCAGTTTCATATTGACTAACATTTGCTTTGAATAGCAGATTGAGCAGTCTCAAAGCTCCAAAGTTATTTTAGAGCCTTCACCATAAAGTGCTAAAGTGCCACTTTTTTCATCTGCCAAGGCCTGGCTGTGAATGTTTCACTACGGATATGTGCTGGGTCTCAACTTTTCATTATATGCAACACTAACTGAGAAACAGAAGTTGTAGGTTTCCAGGTTTGTAGTTGACATAAAGATATTGAGGACACCGTAAAGCATGTCAGTGGAGACCAGGAAGTTACAAAAAGTGAGTGGGCAAAATTGTAGAAATTGGGACTTCAACATGGGATGGGGGTGTGGGGCAGGATGTGAACCATCCATTTTGATCCAAGACAGACATTTTAAAATGTGTTTTCATGTTACGAGATTGTTGCTGTGAAAGTTCAATGGCGTTCACTGTCCATCATAAACTAATGAACAGGTAGGAAAAAAAATTCACATGGTCATGAGAAGGTTGGTGTTCAGCTCAAGATCTGGAAAGGAAAAAAGTGATAATGGTTTAATCGCACAGAGCCTTGGCCAGACCACATCTGAGGACCGTAAGATCTCTAAGCAATATCAGGCCATTCAGCCCATCAATTCTGCTCCACCAGTCAATCATGGCTGATATGTTCCTCAAGGAATAAGGTGTTCCATTATCTTCACTGACTTTAATGTGGGTGGAATTAACCTTCTGAGGTCTACACAACTACAGGTACAGTGCAGATGCACCAGAATGACATTGGGCTTAAAGGGTTAGAGTTTTTGGTTGGTGGAGTAGGCTGTCAATCATTTCACATTCTCATTCAGTGAAGCAGTTCCTCCCATTGACTAATTTGGGGTCTCTTTTGTGCATCAGTGAAGTGGGTATTCCTCAGGTGAATCTGGACAGTGAATGTCTGTGTGCCGTTAGCTGGTGGATAGAGGGTGATGCTAGGTGTCTCTCGCGTGCTCTCTCTCTCTCTATTGCTATTCTTTGCTCTTGTCTGTTACCCCACCTTACGTGAAGTTTGAGGCCTTAAGTCAGCTCATTCTTGTCCTCTCACAACTGTGTTTGAACACTCCGAAGTTGCATGTCCCCATAGAATTGAAACTGTTCACTTTAAAGAGTGCTGCATTGTTTAATACATAAACACACTTTCTTGAACCACATCATGAGCAACTCCAGTAATAAATTCATGTAGGTTAGCACCCGGTGTTACTTTAGCACTGCTGATCACTTCCCCCTTGCCCATCAAGAAAGCTGTTACCCAGCAGATACAGCTGACAATGGGAAAACACGGCAGACATCATAGGGCATTCTATTACGTACCTGGCTTCAAATCAATCATCTTGGACTTTCACTAGTGGTTTGTAAATGAAAGAAAAGCTCGGATTTATGTTCACAACGTTCACAACCTCAGAATGTAGAGTCCATTTCCGTTGAATAAAGGTCCATGTAGGAAACGCAACATGGAATTTGTACACAGCAAGATTCCACAATGTGGGAACCCTCTCACCAGGTGTTGCAGTTAGTGAGGAGGATTGTCAGAGGATACAGCAGGATATAGATCAGTTGGGGCGTAGGCAGAAAAATGGCAGCTGGAGTTTAATCGAGCCAAATGTGAGGTGATGCATTTTTGAAGGTCAAGTACAGGTGGAAATTATACAGTGAATGGCAGAACCCTTAGGAGTATTGTTATGCAGAGGGATCTGGGTGTGCTGGTCCACAGATCACTGAAGATGGCAGTGCAGGTAGATAAGGTGGTTAAAAAAAGGCCTATGGCATGCTTGCCTTCACTGGAAGAAGCATTGAGTATAAGGATAGACAAGTTATGTTGGAGCTTTATGGAACTTTAGGTCCCACTTGGAATATTGTGACAGCTCTGGACACCATGCTACCAGAAGGGTGTGGATGTTTTGGAGTGGGTACACAAAAGGTTTACCAGGATATTACCTGGTATAGGGAATTTTAGCTATGAAGAAAGGTTGGATAGTCTGGGTTTGTTTTCACTGGAATGCAGGAGATTGAGGGGCGACCTGATAGAAGTTTATAAGATTATGAATGGCATGGATACATTGGAAAGTATGACGCCTTTTCCCAGGGTAGAGGCGTCAATTACTAGGGAACGCAGGTTCAAGGTGTGAAGGGGGAAGTTTAAAAGAGATGTGCGAGGCACGTTTTTCACACAAAGGGTGGTGAGTGCCTGGAACACGCTGCCAGAGGAGGTGGTGGAAGCCGACACAATAGCAGCTTTCAAGAAGCACCTGGATGAATACATGAATAGGAAGGAAATAGAAGGATATGGATCCTGTAAGTGAAGACAGTTTGTATCAGCACATGCTTGGAGGGCCGAAGGGCCTGTTCCTGTGCTGTATTGTTCTTTGTTGTTCTTAACCAGATCAAAGCCAAGTGGGGATGTATTCTACAACAGTGCTCCCGGTTATGCCCTGACACCTCAAACAATGTGTTAATAACGAGATGATTTTGTTTATTGTTTGCTTTTTACCCCTCCTGAGAATCCTGGAATGAAAGCGCAGCTCTTTGAAATAGCAGCATGCAGTAATTTGTCTGACAGGACAGCTGAAGCCTGAATCCAACTTCTCATCTGAAAGACAGTGCCTTGCAGGGCAGCTCTCCCTCAGTACCACCCTGGATATGGGGAGGCACGGTGTCACAGTGGTGGGTACTGCTGCCCCACAGTGCCAGGGACCTGCGTTCGATTCCAGCCTGGGACTGCTGTTTGTGTGGGGTTTGCATGTTCTCTGAATATCTGCGTGGGTTTCCTCCCACAGTCCAAAGATATGCAGGTTAGGTGGATTGGCCGTGCTAAATTGCCCATAGTGTTCAGGGATATGCAGGCTAGGTGGATTAGCCATGGAAAATGCAGGGTTACGGGGATAGGGTGGGGGCAGGGGGGCTGGTTTGTTAGCTACCTCTTCAAAGTGTTGGTATGAACCTGATGGGCAGAATGGCCTGCTTCCATGCTGTGGAGATTCTGAGTATGCCCTATCTGTGGGCTGGGATCTAAAGCCATGACTGCTGACTTGAATCAAGAGCATTGTCCAGTAAATCTGCAGCTGACGCTTGTGATGGATTGTAATATATGCTATCACCTGTAATAATTCAAGGGAAGTCTGTTCTCGAGTGTATGGATACACCTAGTGTACAATATTAAGTAGATTATTAGACTGGTTTAATTAAGAGCAGGACTTGTTCGTTCAGCCTTTTGCTTGTATTGTCTCTTGGTTTAGACGTTGGCCAATTGAGATTCCAATTCCCATTTGCCTGCTTTTTGATCCCTCTTCCACAATACGTTTGCCCTACGGACATCTATCAATCACGCCCTTAAATGCTGTCAAGGACCGCACTGTGTAGGAGTTAGAATTCCACCAGTCTTTATGTGGAAATGGTAAGCGTGCTTCCTCCTGGGCTTTGACCTGGGAGTGCACCTAGTTGGAGGTTTCGGACTTGTGATTGGTATGGATTCTTATATCAGTAATTGTCTCGATTATTTCTCATTGCACGTGGGCAGTAATTACCCCTTGTTTTAGTGATTCATGGTTGTGGATGCCAGTGTTGAGACCAATATTTCTTGCCAACCCTCTTGCCCTTGAGAAGGTTTCTTGAACTGCTGCTGCCCATGTGCTGTAGATAGACTCTTGGTGCTGTTAGGATTTTGACCCGGTGACAGTGAAAGTGCAATGATATATTTCCAAGTCACTGCAGGTCTCTGCACATGCACTGCAGTGGTCCAAGAAAGCAGCTCACTACCACCTTCTCAAGAGCAAATAGGGATGGGCAATAAGTACTGGCCCAGCCAGCGACACCCATGCTCCACAAATGAATTTTTTAAAAAAAGTCAGAATGGTGAGTAATTTAGAGGGGAACTTGAGGTGAATATGTTTCATGTGTCAACTGTCCTTATCCTTCGAGGTGGTCGAGGCTAAGAGTTTTAAAGGAGCCTTGACATGCATTTTCACACTTAATATATACAAGCTTTTTATCGACTGAGGCACTGGGATTTTGCTGAAGTGTAAAGCAGACATTTGATTGTGTTGTGTTCAATGAACCTCAAGCAGAGGTTCTGAGCTGTACAATTAATTCCTCCTCCTTCCAAACTTGGAAAACAAAGTTTCTGCATGGGTATGGGGAAAGAGTGTGGAAGTGGGACTAACTGCTGTTTGAAAGAATCGGAGCAGATTTGCTGGGTTGAATCGCTGCCTTTAGTGTTGTACAAAACTCGATTAGTGAGGGTTGTGTTCTGCATTGTGTAATATCTGATTCCCAGACAATTGCAGTAATCTGGAATATTTGAAGAAAGAAAGGTGTCCAGGAGCTCAGTGTGAAATTGGATGTTGTGCTGTCAAAAGTCAGGTCTGCTATAGGACAAGGAAAGGATCTGAGTATTATTCTGGTCCGCTGGGTGACCATGGACCCCAGGCTGTTACAGAATAAACAATTGGAACATTAATCTTTTTGAAGCGTTGAAAAGTACTTGTAAGTTTGAGGCTGCAGGTCCCCACTGTATGTTGTAATATTTAATTTTCCAATAGCTTTACATGTTTCTGTGCATTTGCAGCAAGGTAGGGATAAAACACAATCCCTTGATAACTTTTACATGACCATTCATTTTTTTCCTGATAATGCAGTGACTTGAATGACCTTGATAAGAGAACCAGCCGTATTTATGACTGTGGAGGTTTATTCACTTGTATGCCAAATGCCTTCTTAATCATGTTTTTTTTTCCTCCTTTTTAAGAAAGTACAGTCATTTCTCCAAGATGGCACATTGTGTGACGAAAGTGCAGTTGACCATTTCCTGTGAGAATTTGATGGACAAAGATGTTGGTTCAATGTCAGACCCGCTGTGTGTTTTACTTCAAAATGCTGGAGCAGGCGACCAGTGGATGGAGGTAATCATATCTCTGAGGTGCCTTTTGGGGATTCTGAAGCGATTTGGAATAAATAGTGTGCTCTCACTTTTTGTAAGATTTTATTCCATTAAAATATCATAGTCCTTTAGTGACTAAAAACAGCTTTTATATAAGCACCATTTGTGTAGCAAAATGTATCCCAACTCCTTCAGCAATATTTATCAAACAAAATATAACGTCAAGCCCCATAAGAGATTTTAGAGCAAGTGATCAAAGTTTTGGTCAAAGAGGTAAGTCGTAGGGACTGCTTCAAGGAGGAGAGATGTGGAGATCTGTAAGGAGGGTATCCTGGTGTTTAGGGCCTTGGCACCAAATAAAATCAGTGCACAGATCTCTGGATGGATTTATAGAAACACTGTTTATTGGGGTGGGGCTATCTTCACCCACACAGTTAACAGTATCTATATTTACGGGCTCCTCGTGTCTTCCTTGCAACTTGCTTTTCTACCAATCTTTGTGTCATCAGAAAGCTTAGCAATTATACTTTTGGTCCCTTCATCCAAATCATCGATCTAAGTTGTAAAATGTCGAGGTCCCTGTGACAGATCACTCTGTACATCTTACAAACTGAAAATTACACGCTCTTGTTAATGAGCTAATGTTCGATTCATGCCAATAGTTTACCCTCTACACCATGACCTTTTATTTTCTATAGTAATCTTTGCGGTGGCACTGTATAAAATATCTTTTTGAAATCCAGTCACAGTATATCCACCAGATCCTCTTTATCCACAGCACACGTTACTTTCTCAAGGAGCTTCAATCAATTGGTTTCCCTTTTACAAAGCTAATTTGACTTTGTCCCATTACCTTGAATTTTTTTAAAATGCTGTTAATATCGAGATGAGAGGAGTGCACTGTATTTCTCTAGTTTCATAACTCCATGGGTCAGAGCAATGTAATTCTTATCCAGTGCCCAATATGGCCAATCATAATTTCCCTCTTTTAGACTTAAAATAATAAGATCCATCAACCAGGTTGCTTTATAATCGATAATTTATGTTTATTAAAGAAAACTTACTGAATAAAGATGCAAACCTCTCAACACATTGAATTGTATTATGTAAATATAACTGTTTAATTTTCTAAATGTCACCCTCTGTGTTACACACCGATATACACTCTCTCCCTCGCCACGTACATGTGTGTGCACTCTGCGCACAGCCACGGTGTAAAGGAGAAAGAACTGATTTTTCTCTGCAGAGATTCACCCTGTAGAGAACTATTTTTGGTCAATAACCTTTCCTTCTTTACGACAAAAAGGACAAGGTGTGGAATATTCAGATGACTGTCGATCTGTGTTCCAGTGTGTAGATAAGTGTCACAAAATAGGCAGATGTCTCTGGGCTTTTTTCCTGAGCAAGATGCAATGCAATATTGAGGATTATCCCTTCAGTAAGGGCATTCAGAGTTCAGACTAAGTCGGGTCTTCAGGTACCACGCTTGGGCAGCGGTTTCCCTTCTGCAGACTGGCTACAAAATGAAAAATCCAAACAATCTCCAAATCACAGTTTGCAACCTGAGGGTCATAAAGCCCAAGCAGATTCTCTGGAGTAAACAAGCCCCCTGTGGCTACCAAGCAATGCCTTTTTATAAAACAAGTTCCAATGTCCTTTCATTGACCTCTAAGTATAATCCTCGTATCCAGAATCCATCAAAGTACGCAAACATCAAATGTGATGTGTCTTTGTAATGGTGCACCTTAATAATGTGTTTATGTTGCTTCTAACTTTTACTATGACAGATGTAAACTGGCCTGTAATTTCCTGTTTTCCTCCTGGAATAAAGCAGGGAGGCAGAAAGCATCTGCTATCTTCCAATCTAATGAAACCTTTCCTGAATCTAGGGAGTCTTGGCCAATTGGAGCCAATGCTTTAGCTATCTCACTAGCCACTTCTTTAAAGACTCCAGGGTGCAGTCCATCAGATCCCAGACATGTGTCAGCCCACAACTCCTCCAACTTACTCACTGAGTAAAAGTCATCATAATTCTACCAAACTTCAAGGCTGCTCTGTAATTAGAGACGACTGATGGTGGTTTAACCTGAGGGTCACCATGCCTTGAGGCGGGGGGTGGGTGGTGAGTGGTTAAGAAAGAGAGTCTTTCAAGGTAACCTCAGCCATTGCAGGAATTGAACTCACTTTGTTGACATCATTCTGCATCGCAAACCAACTATCTAGGCAATTGAGCTAACAAACCCGATTGCCTTTATTTACGCAGTACCACTTCCCTGGTGATATTTTCCTCAGTCTCTTCCACTTCCTGGTTTCAATTTCTGGGATGTTACTTGTATCTTCTAGAGTGAAAACCAATGCAAAATGCTTATCCAATTCATCTACCGTGTGTTTATTCATCAATTTTGACATCTCTGATGTCCTGAAGCACTTTACAATTATTTACCGTTGAAAATTTGGAAACATGCAGCTAATTTATGCACAGCAAGCTCCTACAGATAGAAATTAAATACAGGACTAAATCATTAGTATTTAGAAAATGTTTGGAGGTTAAAGTGCTAAAGACATCAGAGAAAATTCCTGTGCTGCTCTAATATGTATTGGGATCTTTCAAATTCATCTGTGAGGGTGGAAGAGGCTTTGATTTAATGTCTAATGCAAGATAACACCTCCTCCAGCACTGTGCTCTCTCCATGCTGTTTGGGGACGGCCAGCGCTCAGTGGGAGCTGGAGGGCTTTCTGACAGATGAACAAGCTACCCTCTGAACCAAGGCTTCTCACTGAGCAAAGCACATTGCAGCATCTCAGTGGGACAGGCTTGCTAATTTGGCCATTGTGACAAATTGAACATGACTGACTCCATTGGTCTCTGCCACACAGCTGGACCGAACTGAGAGGGTTAAAAACTGCCAGAGTCCCCAGTTTGCCAAGAAGCTGGAAGTGGATTATTTCTTTGAGCGCGTGCAGAAGCTGAAGTTTGGCATTTACGATATCGACAATAAATCCACAAATCTGAGCGATGATGACTATCTGGGAGGCGTTGAGTGTACACTGGGCCAGGTGAACATCTTTGTGTGTTTGACTCATTTACCTGCAGGTAACCTGCTTTTACTTCCCCCTCTTCCATCACTTGTATGTGGTAAATCTCAGCAGGTCTGTCTCTGTGATAACCCGCATCTCCCCTTCCCTGCCTTTCCCCCATAACCCTTAATTTCCTCTCTGGTTAAAAATCTGTTTGTCTTAGCCTTGAATATACTTAATGACCCAGCCTAAACAGCCCTCTGCAGTAAAGAATTCCACAGATTCACTGCCCTCTGAGAGAAGAAATTCATCCTTATCTGTCTTAAATGTGTAGCCCCTTATTCTGAGGTGCTGCCTGATCCTGGACACTGTAAGGGACAGCAACGTCTCTACATCAACCCTATCAAGTTCTCTAAGAAGCTTATGTTTCCTTAAAATCTCCACTCACTTTTCTGAACTCCAATGTATACAAGTCCAAACTACCCACCCGCTCAGTCGATAAGGGAATCCCTCCAGAGGCAGGATCAACCTAATGAACCATCTCTGGATTGTCCCCAATGCCCAGTATACCTTTCCTTAGATAAGACAATCCAAGCTGTTCACAGTTTTCCAGCTGTGGCCTGATTAGTGCCTTATATAGTTTTAACAAAACCTCCCTACTTTTACACGGCCTTTCTTTTGAAATAAAGGCCAATATTCTATTTGCCTTCCCTATAACCTGCTGAATTTGGAGTCCGGTTTGTTTGTGATTCATGGATGAGGACTCTATCCCTCAGTGCTGTAGCTTTCTGCAGTCTTTCTCTATTTAAATAATATTCAGCTTCTCAATCCTTCCTGCAAAACTGAATGATCTCGTTCCCATACACTTATACTCCAGCTGCATTTCTGCCCCCATCTAACCTATCTATGTCTCTCTGTAGACTTTTTGACATCCTCACCACTCATGTTCCCAAACTTGGTGATAGCACTACAGAATTTTATGATGAATTGTTAGCTGTTATTTTCTGACTCATCAGGAGTTGAGAGCTATGGGGAAAGTGTGGAACTGAGGGATTAGTTTGGAATGAATATAGGGCTAAGGGCAGAGAGTGAGACAGTGCGGTTAGTTTGTGGTTGGTGCAGGGTTATTGGGGGGGAGTGGGGGAGCGAGATGATGGGATTAAAAAAAATAACAGAAGTTGCTGGAAAAGTTCAGCAGGTCTGGCAGCATCTGTGAAGGAGTTACCGTTTTGGGTTCTTCCGTTCTACCATTTTGACCCTTCCTCAGAACTCAGGTTTTGGGATTAGTTTGGGATTGGTGCATTGTCTATTCCACTCACCCTTTTCCTGTACCTTCCAGATTGTCTCTAGTAAGACATTCACTCGCCCTCTGCAATTGAAGAAAGGGAAGCTGGCTGGAAAAGGAAACATAACTGTAAGTTAACCCCCACCCCAACAACCTTTTGCCTTGCCTTCTACTGATGTAGAGTATATCCATGTGTGCTTCAGGTTCTGTAGGTCTTTGCTGTTCTTTTATTCTGTGTAGATGGGGGATGGGGCACGGGGCACTTGCTGCAGCGAGGATAGTTGGATCGAAGTGTGGAAGCTGCAATTCTCTTGTATTATTTTACCTGCAGAATAATCTGTTGAATCAGTGCGTTATCTTGAGTTAATACGTAATATATTTTAAAGCCTTTACATTCTTTTTAACTGTATAAACATTCAAATAATATAATCTTATCAATTTGATTATAATTCCATTTGTAGTGTTATAAAGCAGAGGTTGACCACCTCTTCCCCGCCAACCTCCAAAGACTAAAACTGAAACACTCAAACAGGAGCATCTCCCCCTATAAACTGTAAAAGGGGTGTGAAAAGTGTGCAACCTGATTTTCAGCAAGTTCCAACAGTTAAATAAAATAAATGTCTGAGACTCACTTTAAAATCAACAAGTAACAATTGAGTTATCTAACTCTAACAGTGAACAAATTAACGAAACTATTAACAAACTGAATAAATTCTTGCTGTGCCAATAATTACAAGACCCACTTACATAAAAAGAATTTAGTCAGTTGAAATTACAGCCAGGTTACGTGTCTTCCGGAATGTTCTGTGCCTTCTCAGTCAATTCTTCTGTCAGGAATATTAACTAGTTGTGCCATTGGTACCGTTGTTATTTATATGGTGCTTTCTCTAAGACATAGAGGAGGCTGTGAGGCAAGAGAGCTGAGGGCTGTTAGCTCTGGTGGATGGTAGCTAGCGCTGGGCTGTGTGTCCGACTGCCCCCTTCTTTTCGTACTTTTGATGACATATCAATAGTTATTATAATAGGATTGGTCCTATGTTGCCAGATTTAAATCAGATTTAAATTTAATAGGTTTTTGGTATCTAAGTGTTTGGTTCAAATTGGCTAAATTTAAAAGCCTGTTGTCTTGGTAAAGCTGCTGTTTGGCCTGCTAACTGTACAGCCTTTCAATACAAATGTTTCTATTCAGGTGCTCTCTCTGTATTTGCAAACTTTGAAACTGCTGCTCACAGTAATCCATTTTAAATCTCTAAGCACAAATAAAGCACATGATCTTTCAAAGGGACGATGCAATCCTTCTCCCCCCTCCCCCACCATCCCCAAAAGCCCCAGCACTTAATAAACACCAAATTCTAACTTCCTGCCTTTCAATCCACAAGTACGTTACCCAACTTTGCGACAGTAGTGGTTACGTGAGCTAGGTCTTTAACCTTAAAAGATCAGATAGTGAGTGTGTTTAACATATTACTTCTGGAACGAGATTCGACTCGGCTTAAACTAAAAGGGTGAAAGTTCAAAGGTGTGTGCTCTCTTAAAATCTAATTCCTGAAAAGAATCAGCTTGCAACATAAACTGAACCTGCAATCCAAGATGTGGGAGATGAAACAACTTAATAATGCTGTTGAGGTTAAACGCAACATGTTTTTTGAGACCGTGTAGAGGAAGCTTTACACTGTCCCAATCAAACACTTCCAGGACAGAGACGACATGGGGTTAGATACAGTGTGGAGGAGCTTTACTCTACCTAACGCTGTGATGGACCTGTCTAAGTGTTGCATGCATCATTGGATATTCTGAATAAACTCCTGGCAGAGCTTAGAACATCCTGCAAGATCCCGTTGAGTCTTTGAGTTTTCAATTCTGGTGTGATTCATTTTGTTTCTGTGCTCAGGTAATAGCTGAGGAGATCCGGGATAAACGCACTGCAGTTCTACAACTGGAAGCAAGAAACCTGGAGAACAAGGTGCTGAACACTGTTGAACATTTGTTTTGGAATTATCAGTTGCAGCTACTCGAAGAGACAAGTTTAAAATACATGGTTCTGTGTAATATGTGATTGTAATTGATGACTGTATTCTGTGTGTGCCCTGAGAACAATGAATGGACAATGGGAGAATCATGTATTGATGTTCTCCCACCTTCCTGGTCGACCTGATAAATGACAGTAGGATCCTTCCAGACCTATTTCCTGTCGCACTGCAGGACATATTTTAGTCCACTGGATTACTGATGGGGACTGAGTATAAATTCAACCCTGAGCTGAATGATCCCATTCTGAACACAAATGGTCTCTTCCCTAAGGTTGTTTCCTTTCATGAGATGTGGGTGTCATATTTACTGCCCATTTCTAATTCTCCTTGAGAAGGTGATGGTGGTGATTCGTCACATTGAACAGTTGAAACCATTTGTACGGAGATGCCCACAGTGCTTTTGGGAAGGAAGTTCCCAGACTGTGTTTTGAGTATTATACAAAAGCTGTTTTGTTTCTTTGAATCACATCTTAACTGGAAGGCGTGCATTCATAATCATGCTCCGTTGTTTCACAAGACCAGTTTACCTGACTGACCACTAGTCAGGACAAAAGCAGTTCAGACCAGGTTGCATCATTAATGGAAAATGAATCAATGTATTGTCACTGTTATGATCCCAGCTAATATCCATCGGATAGTCAGATCCCAGACAGGAACTTGACTTCATTGATCATGTGTTCATTTGTTTTGGTTTCAATGAATTGTTCTCTTAAGAAAACAGACATGAAATGCTGCAGATTTTGCCTTCACAACAAAATGGAACTATATTACAAAAGGGATGTAGGTAAAATAGAATAATCCAAACTATCAACTTGTAATTCAAGTACAAATATTTTAAACATGCAGTAAAAGTCATCCCAAAACATTTTTTACAAATTGAAATGAAACAAAACAGATTTCATATAATACCCAAAACACACCCTGGAACATTTTCCAAAATGCCATTTGTATGATACTTGCAACTGTCCCTAAGATCTCGGTAAGTTTCAGTTGCTTGTGACTTCACCTTATGGGACTCTTAACCGCAATAGCTGCTTCTTGGAGTGACCACACACCTGAGCTTCACTGGACTCAGCTTTAAGTAACTTCTGCAGGGTTTTTATCTTAACACTTCTGCTCTGGGACTAACACTGCCTGTTCACTTCAAAATAATTGTATCTGTCAGTCCCTTCTCAGGGGCACTGTTGCATACAACCATCCAGTTTGATGAACTTCACAGGACTCCAAGTTAAACATCAGATCGTAAGAAATAAGAGCAGGAGTAGGCTATTCAGCTCCTCGAGCTTGCTCTGCCATCCAATGAGATCATGGCTGAAATGACCCTGGCATCAACCCCCCTTCATGCCAGTGAAACTAGAAGTCACTCCCCCTCAGCTACGAGCATTTCCTTTAAGCTTAAATAAAAACAGATTCCAGAACACACACTCATACCTTTGAGGCTCTGTTATTTACCAGGCTGGTTCACAAAACAATCTAAACAAAACACAATTTAGTAATGCACTAAATCCATTCACTCAACAGCCAGGTTTCAAAAGCTAATTAATTGCCATGTTACAGTAATACTTGCAAGTTAATTATTAACTTCAGACACAGAGAAAAGCCTATTGGTTACTCGCTCAGAAACCTTGCTCAACCAATCTGAGGGCTGTCTTTAGGTGGTCTTATCTCTTGATGACATTAAGTTTCAAAATAACAATCTGTCTGCTTTGAAAAGCAGCCTTGTCTTGCACAGCTAAAAATGTACTCCACATGATTTTTCCAAGCTGCAAAACCCTCTTGGCATCACGGCTATTCAGCAGGTGCCAAACTTCAATTTCCTTACAAAGTCCAAAAGAAAAAATATATGGTCCCTTCTAGGTGGTAGTAGTCATGGCTTTTGAGTGTGCTGTTGTAAGAGCGTAGGTAAGTTGTTTCAGTGTATCTTGTAGATGATATGTAACTGTTGTCACTCATGGGTGGGGTCTCAGTAAAATTTGAATATGGAAGCTAATTAGTGTGTTTTATTTGGTGAACTTGATTTTCTTTTTGCCTTTCAAAGGATTTCATGGGGAAATCAGATCCATTTCTGGAGCTCTACAGGCAAGGAGATGGTGACAAATGGCAACTAGCTTACCGATCAGAGGTAATAATTTTTTAATCTAACTGACACAGCCTGTAATGTTCCTCATGTTACAAAGCCTTACAGATTAATGCAGGCTAGTTAGCTAAGACTGCCTATGCTGACACTTTGAGAGTGAGTTGACCCACACTGTTTCCCATAGCCCTTCAATTTTCCCTTCCACTACGTATTATAGATAATTGTATATAGTATGTGTTTTGTCTATAAATATATACATATAGATGAGCATTCTATTGTGTTAAAATGGTCTGAAAAACTGCCTTTCACTTGAATGCTGATGAGAGTTTTGGGTGAGTGCTTGAAAATAATGCCATGGTCATTTCTGGCAGCGCGAGTGTGTTCTGCAGTGGTTAGTGGTGTGACTTTGTTTTGTTTACATGGCTTTGCTCCGTGTTTTCAGCAAATTCATTTGACTTGCTGAGAAACTAGTCCAGGTAGGCTTTTTTGGGTTGCTGTCTTGGAGAGTCAAAGTTCAAAAGTCATAGAATCAGACAGCATGGAAACAGGCCCTTCAGCCCACTATGATAATGCCAACTGACAAACACCAAATGACACTAATCCTGTTTATCTGCACTTGGTCCATAACATACTACACCCTGACATTTTAATTGCTCATCCAAATGCTTCTTAAATGTTGCAGCATGTTCCATATTTCTGTCACCCTGTGGTGAAAAGTTTTTTTTTCTTTAGCTCTCCTCTTAAACCACTCACTCTTCAACTTAACCTAATGTCCTCTGGTCTTAGACATGTCTGCCATGGGGAAAAGATTCTGACAATCTTCTGTCTGTGACTGTCATTAACAGATCTCCAACCAACACTGCCTGCACCCAATGGCCACTTTACCTGTGAACATTGCAGTATTAAATACCTCTACCAGGGCCCCAGCGATCTCCTGTCTTGCCTCCCATAGCAGCCTGGGATACATCAGGCTCTGGGGCTTTGTGTACCTGTATGTCTGCTAAAATATCTTATACGTCCTACTCCTTAATTTTAACGTGTTCTAGAACCTCCCCATCCCAACTGAAACCCCTGGCTTCAATGTCTTTCCACTTTGTGAATACAGATGAGAAATATTCATTTGAGACCTCACTCATGTCCTCTGGCTCTGTGCACAGATTGCCCCTTTGGTCCGTAATAGGTCCCACTCTTTCCCTGGTAAATCTCTTACTCCTTAAAAGAATCATAGAATCCGTATTTGGAGATTGCAAGAACTGCAGACGCTGGAGTCGAAGATAACGCAGTGCGGAGCTGGAGGAACACAGCAGGCCAGGCAGCATCAGAGGAGTAGGAAAGTTGACGTTTCGGGTCCGACTCTTCTACAGATTTTCTGAAGAAAGGGTGCTAATGCAAAACATCAACGTTCCTGCTCCTCTGATGCTGTCTGGCCTGCTGTGTTTCTCCAGCTCCGCACTGCGTTGTCATAGAATCCATACAGTGTGGAAGCAGACCATTCATCCTATCAAGTCCATACCAACCACCCAAAGAGCATCCCACCCAGATCCACCTAGCCTGCACATCTTTGGACTGTGGGAGGAAACCGGAGCACCTGGAGGAAACCCACAGACACAGTGTGCAAACTCCACACAGACAGTCGTCCGAAGCTGGAATTGAACCTGGGTCCCTGCCGCTGTGAGGCAGCAGTGCTAACCACTGCGTCACCGTGCCGCCCAGTATACTGATTAAAAAGCCTTGAAGTTCTCCTTGATCCTACCTGCCAGATATTTTTGTGGCCCATCTTTATCCTCCTAATTTCTTTTTTAAAGCAATCTCCTACACAATACTTTTTGAAAAGCCTCCGCTGATTTTAAATGTGCAGTACTTGACATATGCTCCCTTTTCTTTTAATCAAACTCTTGATATCTGTGGACATCCAGGGTTTCCTGGATTTGCTGCCCTTGGTCTTTAGAGCAACACAGTGGCCCTGAATTCTGACCATAATACTTCTAAATGACTCTGTTTCCAAATTTAGACTTACTTGCAAGTAGCTGCTCCCAGTCTACTTGCCAGATCCTGTCTAATGATATTGAAATTGCCTTTCCCTAGTTTAGAAACTTCACTCTGCATATCCCTATATTATTTCATAAGGACTTTGAAACTTAGAGTTATGGTTACTATCCCAATGAAATTTCAACCACTTGACTAGGATTAAGCCTCGCACTGCCCCCATCTCTAGTCAGGCTTTCTGGGACAAACAACTCTCCTGGATGCACTTCAAAAATGTCAACCTGTCTGATCCTTTCACACTGAGGCAATCCCAGTTAATGTTAGCAAAGTTGAAATCCTTTACAAATATAACCCTGTTTCTCTCGCACCTTTCTGTGATTTGCCAATATATTTACCTACAGAGCTGCAGCTCGGAGTGAGCACTGTGGTTTGAGAAGTCACTGGAGTCGTTGCCAGTGAAAGCCAGAAATTCCAGTTCTGCCAGTTAGTTAAAGTTCAGCTTCAGGGCCCTCCTGACTGTCCCTGCAAATGCTACATAGAAGTTACAGCACAGAAATGGACCGACCAGTAAAAAGGATGAGTCTCGAGTTATGTGGATGTAGTGAAGATGGAACTGTTCTCTCTGGAGCAGGAAAGTTTATGGGGAGAGAGAGCCTGGAAGTAAAGAGTGGAGTTAAACAAGTCATTAGGGAAATACTATTTCTATTCACAGGTAATATGAAGGTACAGTTACAAACTAACTGACAGAAGAACAGGAAGTGGATGTTTTTATACTCAGTTCTGATCTGGAGTGCACCCCCTGCAGACTTAACAGCACCTTTCGAAAGGGATTTGGATGAAAATTTGAGGGGTATTTACTTTTAGGACTGAGGAAAGAGGAGCAGTAATGGGTCATTTCTGAAGAAGGGTCCAGACCCGAAATGTTAGCTTTCCTGTTCCTCTGATGCTGCTTGGCCTGCTGTGTTCATCCAGCTCCATACCTCGTTATCTCAGACTCCAGCATCGGCAGTTCCTACTATCTCTGAGTAATGGGTAGCTCTTCCAAGAGCTGGCACAGACACAACAGGTTGAGAGGCCTCCTGTCCTGTACATTCTATGATTCAACAAAAGTTACTTGTGGTTTCTTGCAGGAAAGGATGCCAATTATGATTCTCGTGTTTTAACAGCATTCTCTTCCTCTACTGTTTGTTGGTTGCAGGTTATTAAGAACAACCTGAATCCGAATTGGAAGCCATTCTCAGTCTCTTTGCAGTCGCTGTGTAATGGAGATTTGCAGAAGCCCATTAAGGTACAGTTGTTGAGTCCTTTTCTGTGGACTGTTCCCTAGATTTCCAGGTTGTTCTGTTTGTGAGCTGATCCCTTAAGCAGTACAGGAATTTCTGTGGATGATACCTGTGCCAGGTGACTGGGGAACTGGTCAGCAGGAAGCAGACACTTGAGTGGAGCTGTAACTGGAGGATTTCATTTCCTGAATGGTTAATGCATCCAGTTTAGTAATGTGACTTTATGCTCTCCTAGGTTTGCCCAATTCCTTGGCTGTTTCATGCTTCGAGCCAAAGGAGCAAGAGGAAGCCATTCAGCCCCTCAAACTTGTTCCAACACACAGTGAAAGCATTTGTACTTTCATGCCATCCCCTTGCCTTGGCTCAGGTTACACATCAAAGAGACTCTGGATTGGTGCATATTTAAACCTGTTTGAAGCTTGGTTTATTTGAACAGTTACCTGAACCTCAGGCATAAAACCACCAACCTGCCCCCAGCACCTCTGTTCGTTCCTGTTGGAGCTGGCTATGCACTAGATGTCCTTTTTTGTGGTTCTGGGCAGTGATATACAGAGAGGGGCAGAGCAATGTAGTAAGTGGGGATTGAAATTCTGAAAGGGTAAGTGCTGGGATATTATTTGCAGTGGGCAGGAAATCCAGATCATTGGGCTCAGGCTTCAGATTCATTTAGGACTGCGATGAGAAGTTTCTTCACTCAATGAGTTGCGAATCTCTCTCATTCTGTACTCCAGATGCTCCATTATTGGATATATTTAAGGCTAGAATAGACAGAGGTTTGGTCTTTCAGGAAATCAGTTGATGTTGCGAGGGAGTAGGAAAGTGAAATTAAAGCCCAAGATCAGCCAAGATTGTATTGAATGGCAGAGCAGGCTCAATGGGCCGAATGGTCTATTGCTCCTATTTCTTCTGCTCTGCCTGCATCACCTGGTTACACAAGATCTCTCTTCAAGCAACTCTATTGGTTAGTGCGCTGTCCACGGTCATTTTGCACCCCCATTCTGTCTGTCCTGCTTACCTGCTCTTGTGGGATTTTCCGATCAATCCTGGTTCCCTTTGACAGAGAAGGGGCTTGGGGTTGGAGGGAGTGAGGTGGAAAAGCAGCAACTGCTCACCACTTTCACTCCACGGACTTGTACTGAAAACTGTGTGGATGTTGGATGGAGATAGGACAGTGTTTAGCTGTGACGCTCGCACAATTCATAAGCTTTTCACCAGTCTTTGTTCAGGTTTGCACACCAAGAGGATGATGACAGAGGGCTGTGGATCTCAAATGCCCCTTGCCCCTCCCCTTCACTTGGCTGGGGAGTGTGTCCTCATGGGGTCAGTTGTGAAGATGCTTTATCCCTTTTCGAAAAGGATGGCTTCGTCATCACTGTGACCCCCCACTCCGAGCCTGTTCACTCGGCACTCACTGTGTGTTTGTTTGATGTCAGGTGGCTATTAACGATAAGGATGAAAGCACAGGCTCCGATCTGATAGGCGAGTTCACAGCTCCTGCTCAGAAACTGTTGGAAGCAAAGGACCAAGTGGTGAGCCCCTCTCTAACTCTCTGTCTTGGCTGTCCTCTCTTCCCTGTAGGTGACCTGCTCTGACTATGATGGTGATGGCTCTCATGATCTGATAGGCCTTTTTGAAACTAACTTGTCTAATCTACAGCAAGTGGAAACAGGGAATCCGGTGAGAACCTTCTTAATTTCTCTCTGAAATCTTTACGTGAGGTGGCATATGTTTTTTTTATTTCAAACCTTCGCAGACCCTGTTCTGTGCTGTGTTGTTTGCTGCTCAAGTGAAATTAGCTTGTCCATCCTGTAAATTTGATTTTGTTTGTACCTTCCCACACTCTTGCTCTTTTTCATGTCTTTTCTTTCTCCCTTGCTTCCTCTTTCCCTCCCCGTCCCCTTCCTCTGTTGGTTGTGATGACCCTGCATTAGATGGAGGTCGGGTTAGTCACAGTGGATACAGATCCACAGAAAGAAGCACTGCCCAATTGAGCACAGGGTTTAGTGGCGATGAGTCCAGTCTCAGTCCAAGAGGAGGCATTGGAGAAACCAAGGAGGAAAACAAACTGTAGGGATTTGGAGATTCACACTTGGTTTTTAAGGGAATTTTGACATGACTGAAATAGAATATTCTACCTATTAAAGAAACACGGATGGTGCCAAACTAGGGCTTTCAAAGCCTGCAGACTGTTATAGGAAGAGAAAGTAGGAGATCCACTGGTCTGATCCCTGGTGAAGAATGGATAAGAGTCAGAGATATGCAGCATGGAAACAGACCCTTCACTCCAACTTGTCCATGCTGACCAGACATCCTAAATAAATCTAGTCCCATTTGCCATCATTTGACCCGTATCCCTCTAAACCCTTCCTATTTATATACCTATCGAGATGCCTTTTAAATGTTGTAATTATACCAGCCTCCTCCACTTCCTCTGGCAGCTCATCGCATACACACACCACCCTCTGCATGAAAAAGTTGCCCTCAGGTCCCTTTTAAATCTTTCCCCTCTCACTGTAAACTTATGCCCTTCAGTTTTGGAATCCCCCACCCTGGGAAGAAAACCTTGGCAATTCACCCTATCCGTGCCCCTCATAATTTTATAAACCTCTGTAAGGTCACCCCTCAGCCTCCGGCACTCCAGGGAAAATAGCCCCAGCCTATTCAGCCTCTCCCTATACATCAAACCCTCCAACCCCAGCAACATCCTTGGAAATCTTTTCTGGACGTTTTCAAGTTCCACAACATCCTTCCTATAGCAGGGAGACAAGAGACATTGTGGAAAAGGTCATCAACACAGAAGTGAGGTGAAGACATTGGGGGTCTATAGGTGGTCAGTGAATTAGATGGAAAGCTTGTTACTGTATCTAGTCCAAGGAAGACGGATGATTGGACTGGGGTCAAGGTCAGGAGCGAACAATTTAAATGTGTGATTGTGCAATGCGCCATTTCCTGATTGGTGTGTTCTTCTCCCGAAGATTGAGTTTGAATGCATTAACCCAGAGAAGAAAAAGAAGAAGAAGAGCTATAAGAATTCTGGCGTTATTCGAGTTCAATCTTGCAAGGTATGTAAATCCTGTAATAAGTTTCCCAGGAAGAGTCTGAATTTGTGGAATAATTTACTCTTTGTTAGAACCTCACTGCTCCCTGATTGCATTCTCAAGTGTTACTAGTCTTCAGTATCAGTCTGCACTGGCACAGGTCCAGGGGGAGGCCGTTCAGCCCCTCCGGGGGTTGGGTTGGAGATTTGTGGGTGGGCGTTCACCCTCTCCAGGGTAGGGGGGTGTGGGGGTGTTCAGCCCCTTCAACCTGCTCTGCTGTTAATTTAGATTGATTAATTGCTAGTTCGACTGTGTTTTTCCCCGCCTTGATTCTCCACTCTAATAAAAATCTGATGGCCTCACTTGTAGTTTTTCATTGGCTCTCAGCATCTTTTTTTTTTTTAAGTTTTCCATGCAAAGAAGTACCTCAATGATTTCATCCCTCAACGGCCAAGCTTTGTACAATTCTGTCCCCTGTCCAGGAGTTCATGACAAAGGGAATAGTTTCTGTCTCTGCCTGCTGTACCAGGAGACCAGCTTGCACAAGTTGTACTAATTCCACCTTGTTTTACTTAACAGCTAGAAACTGAATACTCATTCCTGGATTACGTTATGGGAGGATGTCAGATTAATTTCACAGTAAGTAAATTTCAATGGTATTTGAATGAGTTTGAAAGCGTTAAGGTGGTGGGCTCTCCCTAATCTCTCCCATAATGTTGTGATTTAACATTGTAGCTACGATGTAATATCCCACAGGCCACGTACAGAGCTTGAGGCTGAAATTAATAGTTTTGTACAGCAGTTGGTACTGGAGAACTTCTTATTGTAATGTTTGCAGGCCAGAAACTAAGACCCTTGAAAGGGTATCTCATCAGTTAAACCAGAGAGCAGGAGTTCAATTCCTACCATGGCAGTTTCAGAAGGTGATTCAGTGGGACAAAGCCTGCGGATAAAGGAATGTTTATCAGTGAAAGTTACCGTGAAGATGTCAAAATATGTCTGGTTCACTGATACCTTATCATACAGGGAAGGAAACCTGCCTATCCTTAGCTGGTCTAAGTCTGTATGGGTCTCCAGTCCCTCATTGTCTACCTTGACAGCATGGGTTTCAAATTCAAAGAAAACTCCTGGAAAACCTGAAGGAAGTGGGAATTAACAATTGCATTGAAAATCTCTTTGACTTTCTCTCAACAATAGTTTTCTTTCCTCCTCGTTTCACTCCTGCCCATTGGGTCAGTTTCATGTACCAACACTAATCAGTGATTAGTCTCTGCCTCCTGGATCCATCACAGAGTAAACTGACGCTGGTCATTATATTGCCTCTGAAGTGACCCAACAAACCCCTCTTCTGTCTTCCACCACCACCTCAGGAGCTATAGACAGGCAATTAATGTAAAAATAATTGCATTCTGGGCTGTCGTAATTTATATTTAAAAAGATAATTAAGTTACTCTGGTTTGAAGGAGGTTGATAACAAAGGATCATAAAATTTCTGATTCTAGTGTTTGATTTGGAAAGTGTTTTTCTTTTCCCTTGACGGAATGAGTTGAGGGTCAGGAACACTTTGGGCCATGAGAGGGTGAAGCTAAGTAGAACATGTGGGATATCTGCGCGGCGGTTTTTCTGGTGTGGTTTCTGGTCAGTTGATCTAACAGACAGCGTCTGTAAAGAAAGATGGCTAATGCATTGTGTGGACCTTCTAAATGAGGGAACCAGTCTCTCTGAGTATTATACAGTTGCTGATGTTGTTGCTATCACAGAGACATGGTTGAAAGAGGGACAGGATTGGCAGCTCAGCATTCTGGGATATTGATGTTTCAGAAGAGACCAAACAGAAAGCAAAAGAGGTGGTGGAGTTGCATTACTGGTTAGGGAGCATATCACAACTGTGTTAAGGGAGCACGTTCTGGAGGGATCTTGCAGCAAGGCATTGTGTAGAGCTCAGGATTAGGAAGGGCACAATCACAATGCTGGGATTGTATTACAGACCTCCCAGCTGCCAGTAGCAGATAGGGAAAGAGATATGTAGTCAGATTCTGGAAAGATATGTAAAGAACAGGATTGTTGGTGGTGAGTGTTTTTAACTTTCTCCATATTGACTGGGACTCCCTTAGTGCAAGAGTTTGGAATGGGAGCAATTTGTTAGGTGTTTCCAGGGGGTTTTTTGAAGCAGTATTTGGCTAGTCCAACGAAAGAGTGGGTCATAGTGGACCTGCTATTGGAAAATGAGCCTAAGCCAGGTAATCAAAGTTACAGTGGGGGAGCATTTTGGGAATAGTGACCATAATTCTGTACTTTTTTGCTATTATGGATAACGACTAGAGTAGACCTTGGATGAAGCTGTTAAATTGGGGGAAGGCCAACTATAACCGAATTAAGCAAGAATTGGAGAACGTGGATTGGGAGCAGCTGTTTGAGGGTAAATCTATATCTGACATGTGGGCGTCTTTTTAGGACCAGTTGATTAGAGTGCAGGAATGGCAAGATTTGGGAACCTTGGATAACAGGGAAAGTTGTCAGCTTAGTCAAAAATAAAAGAAAACGTGCCAAAAGTCTAGGCAACTAAAAACAGACAAAGTCCTTGAAGGTTATAGAGAAATAGGAAGGAACTCAAAAGGGGAGTTAGGAGGGCTAAAAGAGGCAATGAAATGTCCTTGGCCAGCACGGTTAAGGAGAACCGCAAGGCATTTTATGCGCGTATTAGGAACAAGAGGATAGCTATGGAAAGAGTAGGCCCACTGAAGGACAAAGGAGGGTAGTTATGTATGGAGCTATAGGAAATGGTTAACATCCTTATTGAGTACATTATATCAGTATTCACCAAAGAGAGGGATGTTGAGGTTAGAGAAAGGTGTGTCAGCATAATGAAAGAGGAAGTGTTGGGTGTCTTGAAATGCATTAAGGTAGACAAGTCCCAGGGCCAAATGGGATCTGTCCCAGGATACAGGGGTAGGCAAGGGAGGAAATAGCTGAGGCCTTTACAGATATCTTTGCATCCTGTTTGGCCTCAGGCGAGGTTCCAGAGGACTGGAGAATGGTCAATATTGTTCCTTTGTTTAAGAAGGGATACAGAGATAATCTGGGTAATTACAGGCCAGTGAGCCTGACGTCAGTGGTGGGATAACTTTTGGAGAAGATACTGAGAGACAAGATTTATTCACATTTGAAAGCGAATGATCTTTTTAGTGGTAGGCAGCATGGGTTTGGGAGGGGAAAGTCATGGCTCACCAACTTGATTGAGTTTTTTGAGGGGATGCCAAAAATGATTGAGGGAAATGCAGTGGATGTTGTCTACATGGACTTTAGTAAAGCATTTGATAAGCAGGCTGGTACAAAGGTAGAGTCCCATGGGATCCCTGGTGAGCTGGCTAGATAGATACAGAACTGGCTTGGTCATCGAAGGCAGACAGTAGGGGTGGAAGGGTGCTTTTCAGAATGGAGATCAGTAACTAGCAGTGTTCTGCAGAAATCAGTGCTGGGACCTTTGTTGTTTGTAATATATTTAAATGATTGGAAAGAAAATGTAGGTAGTCCCGTTAGTTAGTTTACGGATGACACCAAAATTGGCGGAATTGCAGATAGCGAGGAGGATTGTCAAAGGATACAGTGGGATATAGATAGATAGATTGTAGATTTGGGATCAGATTTATACTAGTCTCCATTATCTCCATTGGTAGAACATTATAGGCTATGTACAGGTAAATAGAATCAGTGTAGTTTGGTGTTAGTTGGCATAGACATGGTGGGCCAAAGGGCCTGAGTCATAGAATATGACTTTATCTCAGGTTATTCACTCCTTGACTTTAATGATGAACATTAAATCAAATTCATTTCTAAGCAGTGTGGAAGGAGAGAAAGTTGGTTTGATGGAGGGTATAGGAAGATGTACAGCTGAGACACTATAACACTGCCACAGACGGGAAGGTAACATTATAACGTGACATTCATTTTGGAAATCCCCATTCCGAATATGGGATGTAGGACTGTTAACAGCAGGAGGTTTATAAATAGAATGTGCACAGTGGACTTTAGATTTTGTTTTTCTGGGAGTTCAGTTTATTAGGTTGCGTCTTTTAACTGAATGTATTTTACCATTTTACCATTTTCCCCCTTTCTCAGGTCGGTGTTGATTTCACAGGATCGAATGGAGATCCCCGCTCTCCAGACTCGCTGCATTACATCAGCCCAAATGGAGTCAACGAGTACGTGACTGCCATCTGGTCTGTCGGACAGGTTGTGCAGGATTACGATACGTAAGTTCCTTGCTCTATTTCATTGTCTTGTTTTCAAGGCACTGCTGGCTGGTGGGTTAGTGAAATGAGAATCAGCTGCCTCATTACTGTTCTCCCTGTGTCCACAGAGACAAGCTGTTTCCTGCTTTTGGGTTTGGTGCTCAAGTTCCTCCTGACTGGCAGGTAAGAGCAGCAGAGAGGCATAGGCCTGGTTTACAGGTTGTCATGTTATGTCTTATGCATTGCATCATTACAAAATTTCCCCATATTGTTTTCAGTTTATGGCTTTTCTGTTATGGTTTTGCAATGCATTTACCAAGAGAGAATTTACTCTGTAAACATAATAACTACATTCTCTATGCGCTATAGATTTTCTGCTGCATATCACAGAATCATATAGAAGAGACCCTTCAGCCCATTTGAGTCTGTACCATTTTTTAAGGTTCAGATTGTACATGGTGTACTTGTAACCTAATTGTATCAAAATGAACACTTTTACCACTTTTACTGGTCTGACTACTCCTGAGTCTGCAACCTTCAAGTTTCTTGGCCTGTTTTTTCCCTCAGTGCACAAAACCAAAGCATGCAGTTGTCTAAAACCCTCCTGGTTTTCTGAAATCTTCAACATGTGACATGTTGAAGCACATCATTCCCCAGTATCTCTGAAAATTCTTCTGAAATGGATCTAACAATCTGAAGCTAACCACCATGTTATATTCTTGAGCTTCCACCAGGGAAGCTGCCTCTCCCCAGTGGAGCTCAGGCTAAACAGTTATGGGTTGCTGAATCATTTCTGAAGGGTGATCTGCTGTTTGGACTGTGTCAGCTTATACAGTCACAGAGGGAGGCCATTGGGTCCATCATGTCTTCACCAGCTCTCCAAATCAGCATTACAACTTATTGACATTCTTCTGCTTTCTCCCCCATAACCTTCACTCATTGTTTCTAAATAATCATCCACTGCCCTCTTAAATGCTTCATTTAAACCTGCCTCCATTACTCTCGCTGGTAATGTGTTTGAGGCCTGACTTAATCTGTGAACCAGGAGTGAGACTGATCACTGAGTAATGTAGGTATAGGGTGCTGACCCAATGGGAAGGGGTGAACCTGGGTGCTGGGGGAAAGCATGGTTGAGAGAATTTCAGTGGGGAACATTTCAAATCTGATACCTAATTGTTGTTTCCTGCTTTCTGTAGGTTTCTCATGAGTTTTCCTTGAATTTTAATCCCAACAACCCATATTGCCAAGGTAGGAAATTTCTCCATCTGTCTGTTATTGTAGATCAATGTGCTGAGATCACTGGTGGTTCATGGAAAGGCCAGTGTAGTGCAATGATTTTTGTTCAGTACGTGTTCCTGCTTAATACTGGCAAGTTTGTCTGTTGGCTTTGGCTTTCATTTCATCCATAGCCACCTCAGTATTGTGGTGATACCACATGAGATTTACCTGCGATTTTATTGCAAGGCATTTGTGCACACCTATTTGTTTAAATAGAGCTTTGAGATTGCTGAGAATGCCCCTATATAACCTGCCATGCCTGCAAATGGCCTCGATACCAAAAATGCAAATGAAAACACAATGATCTAGACATTTTTCATGTACTCAAGTTATTTTTCAATTCGTTCACATCTTACAATGGCCTGACCTTGTATGGTAAATATGTGCCGTGCTTGCAGGATTTGAATGTCCTTGCATGTATCCCACCCAACAGCACCATGCCCCACGTTCTCCCTTGCTGCTTTGAGGGTCGGTTGGTAAGAGTGTTACCCCGGGATTGAGGTGGGAAGTTAACCATGTCAGCAGATGTGAAACAAGTCCAAGATTGGAAGGGGAGAGCATTACACGTGTTCAGCCTATATCCTGGAGCGACGCACTTGCCTATTTCTTCTCCTGTGCCCACTCCTCAGTGGTTCTGCTTCCAGTTGGGAAAAATGGAATGTTCTGACTGTCTCCTCCCATGTGCCTGGTCACAGCCAGTTGAAGAGATTGAGTTTGAATGGCTGGCTATGCAGTGGAAAGCCTTCCCTCTTAATGCACATTGAGATTTGCGTATTATTGAAGTTACAAATCATGCTTCGTCTGCCCATAGAATCTAGCCTCTACTCAAACAACGCTGTCTAACTGTGGCTGCATGGAGTGGTCTGGACTGTGAGGGATTAGTTGTTGGAAGAGAGCTTTAACATTTCCCTTCCTGTGAGTGTTGCTACAGTGCTGATGAAATGTCCAGTTGCTTCTAATTTGTTCCATCGAGTTGAGATGGGATTGTATTGTATTCATGTTTGAGATTATATATTGTGATGCCTCCTGGGTTTCCTGGATAACGTAGTAACTTTTTGTCAGCCAAAGGTATCCAGGAATGTGGTGTGGTCATGAAAGGTTGGAGTACAGTCGTGGATCAGCCATTATTTAATCGAAACGCTGTTTGAGAGGCTGAATGACCTCACTTTGTTGTTCCTTGGGAATCTCTTGCTGCTTTTCCCACCTGGTCAGTTCTAAGATTTGCACAGGTTCACAAGCCACTTTCAATCTCATCAGTTCTGTATACAGGAAATTCGGTCTGTCCCTAAATGTTGCCAAAAGGTACCTCATTAGCTTGCACCTGGCCAGTCATATTCCACCAATATGTTGAACCCCTTCCAGCCACTATTGCAAAGGACATCCAACCCCAGATCAGCTGCGCTGGCTCAAATGCACTTCTACAAACTACAGAAGCGAAGGTTTGACTTTGAGGTCTTTGTAGTCAACAAATATCCTACTGCACAGAGTTGGTGTGGTCATCATACTCTTGAGAGACATGGCCTGTGCACCAACAATCAGCAACACCCTCATCAAATCCCCCAGATTCACAGGGAGGGCCATCAGTCAAACTCTGCTATCCTCCTCAGTAAGCCAGCTCTGTTAAGGCAAGACTCCTGTAAAATTAACTCCGGTGGACTGGGCGCTATGACTGGGTGGCTGGAAAGCAATTCCTAGACCAGTTTTCTCAACTCTCAAATGGCTGGTAATTCAGTAGAGGGCAAAAGAAAGCACTACAATGACACCCTGAAGCTCTCCCTGTCTTGGAGGAACTTGCAGTCATTAAGAATGGCAACAACTTGATCATCCAGCTGCATCGCACTTTGAGTCCTGATGAGGCAGAGACAGCACAGAAGGAAGGAAAAGGAAGCAAATCCTGCTGCCCAGATCCCACTACCTCGTGGGGCATCCTGACCCACATGGCTGGATGTCTGAGATTTAAGGATCAACCTCTTCAGTCATGTGAAGACTCTGGGCAGAAACTCGTGACCCTGAGCAGCCAAAATAATGGAGACCCCTCTGCCCTCCAATGGTGTAGAATGAAATGTAGACCCAATGGTGATCACGCAGAAGTGACATACTGGCAATCAAGTCCTGCTAATGATCAAATTATCAAAAAGTTAAAGAATATTTTAAAAAGCACACAATTCCATAGTTCACCTCTCTTCTAGACCCTCTGTCCCAGACCCAGGTTGAAAGAGAGCACATACCTGATTTCTGCATTCTCAAAAAATACTATTATTGCAAGCATTGGCTACCTAGTTCCAGATAAACCATTATACACCAAGACTGTATACCTTTACATATTACTGATTAGCTTATTAACACCCCCTTACACACACTGACATAGACACGGTGAAAAAGATATGGGCAGAGAGAAAACAATTCCCTAGTGTTTGTTCACGAGATCTGTTAAGTTGGTTCTTACTGAAGGTTCACTTTTTGGACAACTCCACTGTTTTTCAAGAGGCACAGGGTTGTTTATTCATTCATAAAAGGTCTCTGAATTAGCAGTTAAAAATTCATAGCTTAGAGAAATTGCTGAAGGAACGATAAACTGTTTTTCTTCAGGTTTAAAGTGATTTTTGATTGCAGAGAACAGAGAAACAGCTCCGGAGTTGGTTGAGACAGATGTGATCAGATATCTTGTTCGTTTACCTAAGAGCCAATCACAAGACTGTTGGTAGGCAAAAGGCCTTTGACATCAATAACTGGTTACTAGTCATAGACCAATAGAAATTACCAGCCAGATCACCACCTGAATACAGAGCCCCTCGTCTCCAGTTCATCTGCAACCACTTCAATTACTGCTTGCTCCAGCAGCTGTTTAAACAACGCTTGCCATGAGGGTCGGTAACTGACTTTTCAAACCGTACAGCAATCCTTTAAAACACCCGGTTTGAAAACAATTCTTACCCATTTCAGAGATAGTAAGAACTGCCGATGCTGGAGTCCGAGATAACACAGCGTGGAGCTGGAGGAGCACAGCAGGAAAGCTGATTTCGGGTTGGGACCCTTCAGAAATGGGGGATGGGGAAGGGAGCTCTGAAATAAATAGAGGAGGGGTGGGGCTGGGGAAAGGTAGGTGGGATGGTGATAGGTGAGTGCAGGTAGGCAGTGGTGGGGATTGGTCAGTGAGGTGGGAGGAGCGGATAGGTTGGAGAGAAGACAGACAGGTCAAGGAGGCGGGGATGAGAGGGAGGATTGGTCATGGGATGAGGCCGGGGGTGGGGAGATTTTGAAACTAGTGAAGTCCACATTGAGACATCTTACCCATTTCAGTCACAATCTTAAAAAGCACAAAAATAAAAAGACATGGTCTTTACAGTAATGAGAACCTGGTTTTAGGCTGGGGTTCTGTACACTGGGGCATTGAGACATTGTTTGTAGGAGGGGTTCAAGGGATGTGGCACAGCGTGAATCGATGCTCCATTTCCTGTGGAATAAATGATGAATCACCCAGGATCTCCTCAATGTCGAACAAAGGTATGATTCACCAAGGGGACAGAATGATGGCCCATTCTTTATTTGATGCTGAATTTTTGTCCAAATATTTGGTTTGATTTTCCATCTTGTGCAGTACTATGCAAGACTGAGTAACAGTACTCTCTATCTCTATTCCTCTCCCTCGCCCCCACCTCCGTCTATCTGTCTCTCCCCGTCTCCCTCCCCTTCTTGCACATACACTGTCTCTCCCTCCCCTCTCGCTCTCTCCCCTCGCTCTCACCCCTCTCCCCCCTCCCCGTGCTGACAGGAGTACAGGGTATTATTGATGCATATCGAAATGCTATCGTCAACGTGAGGCTCTATGGACCAACTAACTTCTGCCCCATTATAACCCACGTTTCCCGATTTGCTGCAGCTTCTACCCGGGAAGGCACTGCTGGGGTGAGTACACAGGGAGGGAGTTTTGATCACTGTGTTAAAAATCACGTGAATAAAGAGAAACTTGCTGATGAAACGGTCAGCAACTGGAAAAGAGAGGTTTAAAGTAATTGGCCAAGGGACTGTAGGAGAAATGGGATCAGTTTTTCAGGCAGTGAGTTGGGATCTGGGGAATGCTGTCTGACAGGGCAGAGGAAGATAGTTTGGTAAAAACTTTATAAAAGAGAACTGGATTTTTAATCTGAGATAACAA